GGTCTGTGAGAGCCAGAAATCTTGCTTGTTTGTAGGTGACCAAATACTTATTTTCCACCATAATTTGCAAATAAATTCATAAAAAATCCTACAATGTGATTTTCTGGAGAGAAAAAATTCTCAATTTGTCTGTCATAGTTGACGTGTACCTATGATGAAAATTACAGGCCTCTCTCATCTTTTTAAGTGGGAGAACTTGCACAATTGGTGGCTGACTAAATACTTTTTTTCCCCTCTGTATGTATGTATCCAATTTTTTGAGGGGGTACATTAGGAGAGGAGTCGGAGCTAAAAAGCTTTAAAAATGAATAGTGCCTCAAGTACAAATACTTACTTTGCTTAGTTTTTGTGTGTTTTTTTGTTAAACTGTCTGCTCAGCCCACATGCTCTATACATGTAATGTATACAATAACTATGTATTTATACGATGATCCTTCCATTCTATGGAATGCCCACCGCCCTCATGTCATATCTGCTAAAATGTTTTGCTTGGTTCTTCAATGATAGACGGAACAGATATGGTTAAGTTTGATTCTATACAAGTAAATACCAACAAAATCCAACTTATCACATGGAATGTCCATGAGCTCACTGATGGGGGGGGGGGTGGAGGCATATGGTTCTCGAACACCTAAAGAGATTGTCAGCAGATGTTTTATTTTTATAAGAGTTACATTAAAAAATAAATAAATGTAACATTTAAAGAGGAGCTGGGTTTGAGAGGACTATGCTGCCACCTACTGTAGTAACCCAGAGGTGTATGCATCCTGATAAATAAGAAAACAGTATTATTATTATTTTTTGGGGCGATTTAAAAATAAAAATGGATTCTCTAGGTACTAGTCTTTTTAGCTAACATTCGACACCTTTCCACTACATGTCTTTGCCAAAGAGACTGGCCTTTCTGCAATCTCAACGTTTGTTATGCAGCTGGATTTACAGTGGAGTTGCTTATTGGTTGTTGGAAATGACATTAATAATTTCCATGACAACAAGTGGAGCCTCAAATAGAATTAGGCAAGTTGTTGTATTTTGGGGCTTTGGAATTGCAGTATGTATTTAGTTTGAGAATTTCGATGTAAGCTAGCAACTTTTGACAGACTGGTTTCGTCTGGACGAACAAAAAATGGTTTCTTAGCAACCGGATACCAACATGTTCTGTGTAGAGAAAAAAAAGTGATAGCATTCCAATATTGTGTAATAGTTGTGGTTGGAGGATAGCTGTGATGGTTATTGAATCAGGATAAACTCCTCTGTTCTATTCAAGCTCATTAATGATAGAATGTTCATATTTGCAGATGGCAGAAAGGCCAGTCTCTTTGGCAATGACAAAGAGTGGAATGTTAGCAAAGGAGACTGGTACTCGGGCTAGTAACCAAGAAACTTGATCTTGACATCTAGCCACTTAGTTAGCAAACCAAATGCATTCCTGGAGCCCTGAGCTGGATATAATTTATGTGACACATCTTAGATTTCTTATAAGTAGCACATATACCATTTATAAGTATACCGGGGGCTATCTCCCAAGCCTAATAAAGATAGATTAGGGCTGACCCCATTTAGTCGATTGTTTGGTCGATAGGCTGTTGGTCGACTGAGATGTATTTAGTCAAGCAGTAGCAGAAAATCTAAAAATCATGGTGTTGAAGACACCTGTCTGATTCGCGCCTGTCTGAGTGGACTGATCCATTGTGGAGGCAGTGGGGATGGCACAGTCCATCATTCTAAGACGTGCTACTGAAGTTGTATGTGGTTATTTTACATAAGAACAATGGTGCAACACTAATAAAAATCATATTACTTTACAACAAATGCACTTTCTCCCGCGTTGGATAGTGGTCGCTGTCTGCGGTTCGGAAACACATCAGTGCACTGTTCAATTGGCGCCTTTTCCTAGACAATGTTGCTATGTGCATAATAGCAAAGTTAACCAGCATATTGGTGTTGAGAACAATGCGCGGAGGCAGCAGCAGAATGAGGAGATGAGAAAACAGCCCTTGCCTTATTGTCTAAGAAAAGTGAGGAGAGAGGAAACCCCAACTGAATTAAGTCTATAATCAATAGCCTAACTGTTAAATGTGCCTGGCTTTATAAATCCTCATTTGGAACGTATTCAGACCCCTTGACTTTTTCCACATTTTGTTACGTTACAGCCGTATTCTAAAATTGATTAAAAATATATAATTCTCAGCAATCTACACACAATACCCCATAATGACAAAGCAAAAACATTAAATACCTTATTTACATAAGTATTCAGACCCTTTGCTATGAGACTTGAAATTGAGCTCAGGTGCATCCTGTTTCCATTGATCATCCTTGAGATGTTTCTACAACCTGATTGGTTGTGGTAAATTCAATTGATTGGACATGATTTGGAAAGGCATATATAAGGTCCCACAGTTGACAGTGCATGTCAGAACAAAAACCAAGCCATGAGGTCGAAGGAATTGCCCGTAGAGCTCCGAGACATGATTGTGTCGAGGCACAGATCTGGGGAAGGGTACCAAACCATTTCTGCAGCATTGAAGGTCCTCAATAACATAGTGGCCTCTATCATTCTTAAATGGAAGAAGTTTGGTTCCACCCAAACTCGCCTGGCCAAACTGAGCAATCAGGGGAGAAGGGCCTTGGTCAGGGAGGTGACCAAGAACCCGATGGTCACGCTGACAGAGCTCCAGAGATCCTCTGTGGAGATGGGAGAACCTTCCAGAAGGACAACCATCTCTGTAGCACTCCAGCAATCAGGCCTTTATGGTAGGGTGGCCAGACGGAAGCCACTCTTCAGTACAAGGCACATGACAGCCTGCTTGGAGTTTGCCAAAAGGATTCTCAGACCATGAGAAACAAGATTCACATGACACCATCCCTACAGTGAAGCATGGTGGTGGCAGCATCATGCTGTGGTGATGTTTTTCAGCGGCAGGGACTGGGAGACTAGTCAGGATTGAGGGAAAGATGAACGGAGCAAAGTACAGAGAGATCCTTGATGACAACCTGCTCCAGAGTGCTCAGGACCTCAGACTGGGGCGACGGTTCACCTTCCAACAGGACAACGACCCTAAGCACACAGCCAAGACAACGCAGGAGTGGCTTCGGGACATGTTTCTGAATGTCCTTGAGTGGCCCAGCCAGAGCCCAGACTTGAACCTGATCTAAAATCTCTGAAGAGACCTGAAAATAGATGTGCAGCGATGCTCCCCATCCAACCTGACAGAGCTTGAGAGGATCTGCAGAGAAGAATGGAAAAAACTCCCCAAATACAGGTGTGCCAAGCTTGTAGCGTCATACCCAGGAACACTCGAGGCTGTAATCGCTGCCAAAGGTGCTTCAACAAAGTACTGAGTAAAGGGTCTGAATACTTATGTAAATGTGATATTTCAGCTTTTTATTTTTAATACGTTTGCAAACATTTCTAAAAAACTGTTTTTGCTTTGTCATTATGGGGTATTGTGTGTAGAGTGATGAGGGGGAAAAAACTATTTAATCAATTTTAGAATAAGGCTGTAACGTAACACAATGTGGAAAAAGTGAAGGGGTCTGAATACTTTCTGGATGCATTCTGTATGAAATGAGTAAAACAGTATGTAAACATTATAAGTGGCCAGTGTTCCATTATTAAAGTGACCAGTAATTCCATGTCTATGTATATAGGGCAGCAGCCTCTAAGGTGCAGGGTTTAGTAACCGGGTGGTAGCCGGCTAATGACAGTGACTAAGTTCAGGGGAGGCGGCTAGGCCGATTGCCTTGAAGTAGAAGCTGTTTTTCAGTCTCTCGGTCCCAGCTGTACTGACCTCGCCTTCTGGATGATAGTGGGGTGAACAGGCCGTGGCTCGGGTGGTTGATGTTCTTGATGATCATTTTGGCCTTCCTGTGACATCGGGTGCTCTAGGTGTCCTGGAGGGCAGGCAGTGTGCCCCCGGTGATGCATTGGGCAGACCGCACCACCCTCTGGAGAGCCCTGCAGTTGCCATACCAGGCGGTGATGCAGCCAGACAGGATGCTGTCAATGGTGCTTCTGTAAAAGTTTGTGAGGAGCCAAGCCGAATTATTTAGGGAGAGGTTATTTTCCTGCCGCCACTCACCTCCCTTTAGGCTGTCTGGTTATTGTTGGTAATCAGTCCTACTACTGTTGTTGTCTGCAAACTTGATGATTGAGTTGGAGTCATGGGTGAACAGGGAGTACAGGAGGGGGCTGAGCACGCACCCTTGTGGGGCCCTTGTGTTGAGGATAAGCGTAGTGGAGGTGTTGTTTCCTACCTTCACCACCTGGGGGCGGCCCGTCAGGATCTCCAGGACCCAGTTGCACAGGGCGGGGTTCAGACCTAGTGCCCCAAGCTTAATCATGCGCTTAGTCATGAGTACTATGGTGTTGAAGGCTGAGCTGTAGTCAATGAACAGCATTCTTACATAGGTATTCCTCTTGTCCAGATGGGATGGGGCAGTGCGATGGCGATTGCATCGTCTGTCGATCTATTGGGGCGGTATGCAAATTGAAGTGGGTCTAGGGTGTCAGGTAAGGTGGAGGTGATATGATCCTTAACTAGCCTCTCAAAGCACTTCATGATGACAGAAGTGAGTGCTACGGGGCGATAGTTATTTAGTTCAGTTACCTTTGCTTTCTTCGGTACTGGAACAATGGTGGACATCTTGAAGCAAGTGGGACGGCAGACTGGGATAGGGAGAGATTGAATATGTCCGTAAACACTCCAGCCAGCTGGTCTGCGCGTAATCATAATCATCATAACATAATCATCAATGCTTGATAGTTTTACATGGAAATTAACTCTCCGTATGTGTGTAGGCCTAAGTGTTGGGGTTGGGTAATTGGAGAGTACAGTAAAAGGCCTATGTTTTGAATTTCACATTTGCCAGTGATTCTAACTATTTTGAGATTAATTAGTTAGCAGTTGGTCTGATAAAGTTTGAGAGAGAGAGACAGACCTTAGGTTTTCCTTGCAGTTGTAGAAACATGAAAATTATCCCAAAACACACAATCCATGAAGGTAATTTCATGTTTGTTAGGATTTGATTACACAATTCTCAGACGCTGACTTACACCGAATGCAGTCAGTGGTACATTTCTGGTTATTATTTACAAACCGTCTATGGACAAAATGAGGGTTGTTGTTTTCCTCTAGGTAGGCCTGAACTTTCTGTTAAGTGCATTGACATGTCTAGTTTTGTTTGTAGGTCACAGTGCGCTGATAGCGTTTCATGCCCTTTTGTTTATAACTCCCTGATAGAAGCCCATTTTTTTTATTCTATTGTGATAGATTAATTAGATGTTAGTGTCACGTTTGACCGAGGTAATAAGGTACTTGATGAAGTGGTTGTGCCAATAACTGCAGTGAAGCTCCACCATAACCTCTCAAGTGTATTGGTGCTTCTCTGGCTGCGTTTACACAGGCAGCCCAATTCTGATATTTTTCCCAGTAATTGGTCTTTTGACCAATCACATCAGATCTTTTCACATCAGATCTTTTTCAGAGCTGATCTGATTGGTCAAAAGAGCAATTAGTGGAAATAAGATCAGAATTGGGCTGCCTGTGTAAATGCAGGCATTGAGGTGACTGTACAAATAGTTTTTTGTTTACATCGTTAATAATCATCAAGTAGAGCAGTTTCCCCTTTGATAGTGTCGATGTATCATAGGCATAAATGTCTGCTTGAATATGCCTTTGGTGCAAGGACACCGATAGCTTTACTGTTCTCTTCTAAACAGATCAAAGAGAAAAGACGGCATACTCCCTCCCATACAGCAAACGCATTACCTTGCATTCTAACATGCTGGATTCTGCAATTCTGCCCGGTTTGTTTTTGCATTATGGAAAGTATAGGGCCCTAAAAGTCTTTTTATTATCTTAAACATTAAACAAAAATGTTTTGGCAAAAGCTTTGTTTTGGTGAGATGTGTTCTTGCTCTGACTTGCCATGCGTTATCAACAGGTTGTCTTTAGCGGTTGTGCAGACCTGCCCTGTTCACTGTGCCCAGACTGGCTCTCAACCACCATGTCATTATAGTTTGTTTCCCATGTCATGACCTCGTTTGTGTGTGCGTGTAGGAGTTCACTGTCCCAGACTACCGAGGTCACCTGCAGGACCAGCAGGGTCGACGAAGGCCTTCCTTGCTTTCTGAATTCCACCCTGGAACTGAGAGGTACGTAACCATACCAACAGCCACCAATATATACTTTACAAAAATATAAACGTAACATGCAACAATTTAAATGATTTTACTGACTAACAGTTCATATAAGGAAATCAGTCAATTGAAATAAATGAATTAGCCCCTAATCTATGGATTTCACATAACTGGGCATAGGCTCACCCACTTCGGAGCCAGGCCCACCCACTGGGGAGCCAGGCCCAGCCAATCAGAATGAGATTTTCCCCACAAAAGGGCTTTATTACAGACAGAAATACTCCTCAATTTCATCAGCTGTCCGGGTGGTTGGTCTCAGACGATCCCGCAGGTGAAGAAGCTGGATGTGGAGGACCTGTGCTGGCGTTGTTACACGTGGTCTGCGGTTGTGAGGCCGGTTGCCAAATTCTCTAAAACAATGTTGCCAGCGGCTTATGGTAGAGAAATGAAAATGAAATGATCTGGCAACAGCTCTGGTGGACATTCCTGCTGTCAGCATGCCAATTGCACACACAGACATCTGTGCCATTGTGTTGTGTGACAAAACTGCACATTTTAGAGTGGCCTTTTATTGTCTACAGCACAAGGTGCACCTGTGTAATGCTCATGCTGTTTAATCAGCTTATTGATATGCCACACCTGTCAGGTGGATGGATTATATTGGCAAAGGAGAAATGCTCACTAACAGGGATGTAAACAAATTTGTGCACAACATTTGCAAGAAAGAAGCTTTTTGTGCATATGGAACATTTCTGGGATCTTTTAATTTCAGCTCATGAAACACTTTACATGTGGCGTTTATATTTTTGTTCAGTGTATATACATGGCTGTGGAGTGTACTAGGGCTGTGACGATACCAGTATTGCGATTATTTCTTTCCATGGCACAAAGTAAAACACGAAGCAGACTAAACTCTTTGGTCCTTTAAAAACCTGCTTTATGTGAAATATTGTGTGCTATGGCTTGGAAAATAAATAAATGTGACTCTGTATGACAACATAATGCTGCTAAAATGATTGTTAATTAGATGTATTACTACCCGTACGCTGCTGTTCATTGATTATTGATTACCATTAGTACATTAGTACCTATCTATTTTATCCTGCTACTGGTCACTATTACTCCTGTTTATATGTATATATTACCACTAGTATATTACTATAGTATGTATATATTTCTGCTACTTGTCACTTTTCAGCTGTGTTTACATATATATCTGCCTATTACTGTTTACTATTTTATTATTTATCCTGCTACCAGTCACTTTCTCCTCGCCTACATGTACTGTACATATCTACCTCTCATACTCCAGTATGCCTGCACATTATACATTTGTTATCAGCACTGACGCTGTATATAGCTTCCTCTCTTATTTCTTATTTCTCGTGTTTTCTTTATATACAGTTGGTATAGAAAGTCACCACCCCCTTTCAAAATGTTCACCTTTTGTTGCCTTACAGCCTGAAATGAAAACACATAAAATTAGACTTTTTCCAGCTTTATTTACACACAGTAAACCACAATATCCAAGTGGGGAAAATAATCTAAACATTCTGAAAAAACTGTAAAATGCCCGATTTGGATAAGTGAACACCCCCACTTATAATTGCAATTGCAAACTTGCTGAGGTATAACCAACCACCTTCCAGATCACAAATCAATCTAATTGGCTTCCATCTGTGATCAATTGTAGTGACTTTGATTAGTTCAGAATAAAAGCAGTTGTTCATAGAGGACTCACTGCTCAGTAGTGCAATTCAAAGCAAAGAATCCACTATGGGCGGAAAGGTACTTTCAAAAGATCTACGAGATAAAGTTGTGGAAAGGCACAAGTCAGGGGATAGATATACAAATATTTCAAAGGCTTTGTCTATCCCTCGGAGCACAGTTAAGACCATTATTAAGAAGTGGATGGTGTATGACACCACCCAGACCCTGCATAGATCAGGCCTTCCCTACAAAGTAGATGACTGGGCAAGGAGGAGACTGATCAGAGAGGCTACCAAGAAGTCAATGCCGACTTTGAAGGAGCTTCAGGGCTTTATGGCAAAGACTGGTCAATGTGTGCATGTGACCACAATATCACAAGCGCTCCACAAATCTGGCCTCTAGGAGGGTGGCAAGAAAAAAATAACACTCCTCAAAAAAAGCCACATCAAGTCTCGTTTGAGCTTTGCCAAAAAGCACATTGTAGATTCCGAGGCCAAGTGACAAAAGGTGCTGTGGTCAGATGAGACCAAAATTGAACTTTTTGGCATGAACGCAAAACGATATGTCTGGCGAAAACCCAATACATCTTTCCACCCAAAGGACCCAAAGAACACCATGCCTACAGTAAAGCACGGCGGTGGCAGCATCCTGTTGTGGGGGTGTTTCTCTTCAGCAGGTACTGGAGCACTTGTCAGGATAGAAGGGAAAATGGACAGTGCAAAATACCGACAGATTCTTGAGGAGAACCTGCAGCCCTCTGCCAGGAAGTTGAAAATGGGAAGATGGTTCACGTTTCAACATGACAATGACCCAAAGCACATTGCCAAAGCAACCGTACAGTGGCTGAAGGACTAGAAGGTGATTGTACTGGAGTGGCCTAGTCAGAACCCCGACCTAAATCTAAATAAGAATCTGTAGAATGACGTGAAGAGTCATGAGCGGTCACCATGCAATTTGACTGAGCTTGAACAATTATGCAAGGAAGGAAGTTAGTAGAGACGTATTCAAAGAGACTCATGGCTGAGTAAAAGGTGGTTCCACCAAGTATTAACTCAGGGAGGTGTTCACATATCCAAATAGGGTATTTTACTGTTTTAATTGTAATAAATGTTCAGAGCTTTTTAGATCCCCCCTCCCCATTTGGATATTGTGGGTTACTGTGTGTAAATAACAGTTTTGAAAGGGGGTGGTGACTTTCTACACCCACTGTGTGTGTGTGTATGTGTGTGTGTGTGTATATATATATATATATATGTATGTATGTATGTATGTATGTATATATGTATATATATATATATATATATATATATGTATATATATATATGTATATGTGTGTGTATGTGTATATATATATATATATATACACACACAGACACACACACACACACAGTGGGGAAAAAAAGTATTTAGTCAGCCACCAATTGTGCAAGTTCTCCCACTTAAAAAGATGAGAGAGGCCTGTAATTTTCATCATAGGTACACGTCAACTATGACAGACAAATTGAGAAATAAAAATCCAGAAAATCACATTGTAGGATTTTTAATGAATTTATTTGCAAATTATGGTGGAAAATAAGTATTTGGTCACCTACAAACAAGCAAGATTTCTGGCTCTCACAGACCTGTAACTTCTTCTTTAAGAGGCTCCTCTGTCCTCCACGCGTTACCTGTATTAATGGCACCTGTTTGAACTTGTTATCAGTATAAAAGACACCTGTCCACAACCTCAAACAGTCACACTCCAAACTCCACTATGGCCAAGACCAAAGAGCTGTCAAAGGACACCAGAAACAAAATTGTAGACCTGCACCAGGCTGGGAAGACTGAATCTGCAATAGGTAAGCAGCTTGGTTTGAAGAAATCAACTGTGGGAGCAATTATTAGGAAATGGAAGACATACAAGACCACTGATAATCTCCCTCGATCTGGGGCTCCACGCAAGATCTCACCCCGTGGGGTCAAAATGATCACAAGAACAGTGAGCAAAAATCCCAGAACCACACAGGGGGACCTAGTGAATGACCTGCAGAGAGCTGGGACCAAAGTAACAAAGCCTACCATCAGTAACACGCTACGCCCCCAGGGACTCAAATCCTGCAGTGCCAGACGTGTCCCCCTGCTTAAGCCAGTACATGGATTTATTTTTCTCATTTTGTCTGTCATAGTTGACGTGTACCTATGATGAAAATTACAGGCCTCTCTCATCTTTTTAAGTGGGAGAACTTGCACAATTGGTGGCTGACTAAATACTTTTTTTCCCCACTGTATGTATATATATATATATATATACACACAGTGAGGGGAAAAAAGTATTTGATCCCCTGCTGATTTTGTACGTTTGCCCACTGACAAAGACATGATCAGTATATAATTTTAATGGTAGGTTTATTTGAACAGTGAGAGACAGAATAACAACAAAAAAATCCAGAAAGACGCATGTCAAAAATTTTATAAATTGATTTGCATTTTAATGAGGTAAATAAGTATTTGACCCCTCTACAAAACATGATTTAGTACTTGGTGGCAAAACTCTTGTTGGCAATCACAGAGGTTAGACGTTTCTTGTAGTTGGCCACCAAGTTTGCACACATCTCAGGAGGGATTTTGTCCCACTCCTCTTTGCAGATCTTCTCCAAGTCATTAAGGTTTCGAGCTCCCTCCACATATTTTCTATGGGATTAAGATCTGGAGACTGGCTCGGCCACTCCAGGACCTTAATGGGCTTCTTCTTGAGCCACTCCTTTGTTGCCTTGGCCGTGTGTTTTGGGTCATTGTCATGCTGGAATACCCATCCACTACCCATTTTCAATGCCCTGGCTGACCACAACACTTTCACCCAGTTCTCCTCTGAATCATTCAGATGTTAATTGGCAAACTTCAGACAGGCCTGTATATGTGCTTTCTTGAGCAGGGGGACCTTGCGGGCGCTGCAGGATTTCAGTCCACGGCGTAGTGTGTTACCAATTGTTTTCTTGCTGACTATGGTCCCAGCTGCCTTGAGATCATTGACAAGATCCTCCCGTGTAGTTCTGGGCTGATTCCTTACTGTTCTCATGATCATTGCAACTCCACGAGGTGAGATCTTGCATGGAGCCCCAGGCCGAGGGAGATTGACAGGTCTTTTGTGTTTCTTCCATTTGCAAATAATCGCACCAACTGTTGTCACCTTCTCACCAAGCTGCTTGGCGATGGTCTTGTAGCCCATTCCAGCCTTGTGTAGGTCTACAATCTTGTCCCTGACATCCTTGGAGAGCTCTTTGGTCTTGGCCATGGTGGAGAGTTTGGAATCTGATTGATAGATTGCTTCTGTGGACAGGTGTCTTTTATACAGATAACAAACTGAGATTAGGAGCAATCCCTTTAAGAGTGTGCTCCTAATCTCAGCTCGTTACCTGTATAAAAGACACCTGGGAGCCAGAAATCTTTCTGATTGAGAGGGGGTCAAATACTTTTTTCCCTCATTAAAATGCAAATCAATTTATAACATTTTTGACATGCGTTTTTCTGGATTTTGTTGTTGTTATTCTGTCTCTCACTGTTCAAATAAACCTACCATTAAAATTATAGACTGATCATTTCTTTGTCAGTGGGCAAACGTACAAAATCAGCAGGGGATCAAATACTTTTTTCCCTCACTGTGTGTGTGTGTGTGTGTGTGTGTGTGTGTGTGTGTGTGTATGTACATATATGTCAGTTATACTATTTTGACATTGATAACTGCACTGTTGGGTAGAGCTTGCAAGTTAAGCATTTCACTGTACTTGTGCATGTGACAGTAAAACTTGAACTAATGATGTTTGTTTCTAACATTTAGGGATGTTTTCCTAAAGAAGTTAAAAACCGCTTCATGTTTTGTTTCCTTGCCACGATACTAACGAGAATTGCGATACTGGTATCGTCCCCCCCACCACCCCCAGGCCTCCAGAGAGACGTCATGGCTACGAGCAGCAGTTCCACAGCGTCACCTCCCAGCAGCAGACCGACGCACACGAGGCCCTGGAGGCCAAGCGGCCCCGCATGGAGACCGTCTCCGAGGCCCACTTTTCCCACGGTGCACTGCCCGGAGGCATCGTTCTGCCCCTGCAGTCCCACCAGGTCCAGGACAGCCTCAGAGCCTCCGGAGGGGAGGTCAAGAAGGTAGACGTCGCCTATCTACCTAGTTCTAATAAAGACATGGAGAACTATTGCTAAAGCAATGTATTAAACCCTCAGTGACTTTCAGTATGTTTGAGGGCATCACTTTGAGCAAGGCGAGGTACAGAAGGGCTAATCTTGATCACATAATGAGGATTTATTTGGGATACAAGTTGATTTGTAGATTCTGTACAGTCCGACAGTGATTCTGTGCAGTCCAACTGCAATGTAGTCAATCTCAAACATGCACAATCTATTGAACCCTCATTGACTGCAGTGGACTCACTTTCTCTGTGTCTGTGTTCCAGGAGAACCAGTTCAGTGGCATGAAAGCCGAGTCCCAGTCCCCAGGAGGGCTGCACCGTGTGGGGGAGGAGCAGGACGGCTCGCCCTCCAAACTGTCCAAGGAGGAACTAATCCAGAGCATGGACCGTGTGGACAGAGAGATCGCTAAAGTGGAGCAGCAGATCTTCAAGCTGAAGAAGAAGCAGGTGGGTTAGGCCTGAAATTACTGCATTTCAAACAGTCAGCAATAATCTAATGAACCTTGGATCTCTAGCTAATAACATAACATTAGAGTAGATCTAAACACTGCCCATTAACCAAATGCAGCAACATTACATCTAATTGAATGTTGATTGAACCAGACAAATCTATTTTTGTCACTCATACATATACCCCCTAATACCAACATATTTCACAAGATGTTATAAACAAGTTAAAAGCCTCTTGTCTCAGTGACAAGGAGGTGGAACTGAGCCAGTCCATTGTGGAAGTGAGCCAGGCAGGGTGAAAGGGCCTCCAGCTAAGCCAACAGGTTAGCTAGTCGTCCCAGAGAGGGCGACCCTCCTCCAGGCAGCGCTACAGGTTGCCCCCCTGCCTTCACCGCTGCGTTTGAAGGCAAATCTCTGGGTCTCTAAGATGCTTACCACAGGAGGAGTACAGCTCAGCTAGCTTGTTGCACACATATGTCTGCTTCGATTTACTTGCTCCCAGAAGACTGAATTTCTGGAGCTGTGGGAATATTCGCTATATCAAGCTCTCTTCCTGTCCTGACCGCCTGGTGAAGGGATAATTAACTCACTTTTTTGTGGTGATTTGAGTTGGAGAGCTAAAAACAGTTGCTATCTTTTTGGAATCCCTACTCATTAGACAGGAATGTAAACTGTGCTTGGCTTTGGGAGAAAGTCTGTTTTTGTGTTTTCCTAGGGCTTTTCCCAGGATTTCCTGGGATTTTATTCATTTATTCAAGGTATTCCAGGAGCTCCTAATCTCAGGTGGCCTTTTGTAACCTAGTTGTTTACATAACCTTTAGCATGTAAAATCACACGGACACCAGTTCAACTACCACACGTACACACACACACACAACAAGTTCAACTATCAGTCAACAGAGTGAGTCTCAGAAAGTGGAGAGAACGGCATATCAGTTAAATTACAGAGCTCTTTAAAAAATGCCCTAAAACAAGCATGAGCCTCGCATATCAGAGAACGGAATCAGATTAGCACCGTTGAATTAAAATGGAGCCTTGTTCTCCTGCCCAGCCACCACCATGAGCTGTATGGAGGTGGAATTAGTAAACAACATGAACATTTTGTTTTAAAACACGCAGCATGAAACTCATGTCTTATTCTTTAACTGTATGATTTATGGAGGAGAGGAAGTTTCCCATATAATATTTTCTGTGTGTGTGCGCATACTCATTTGTAAACTGACATGTTATGTGTTGTCTTTTAGCAACAACTGGAGGAGGAAGCGGCGAAGCCAGTGGAGCCAGAAAAGCCGGTGACCCCTCCCCCCATACCACAGGAACACAACAAACACCGCAGCATCGTCCAGATCATCTATGACGAGAACAGGGTGGGTTTACCAGGGAATCCTGTACACCTACTGTACTCCTACTGTACACACTCACTCACCTCTACTACACCTGCCACTACTACACAAGACCGCTCTTTCAATGTGTCTGGTGGTCTTACCACGCTTAGGGCTGGGTGATATGGCCACAAAAATCACATCTTGATGTTTTCAAATGTATGGGCGATTCACGATATATCTTGATTCTTTAAATGTTTTCTCTAAATAAGCTTTGCTGCACAATTAAAGGTCAATACACTGCATTTCAAACAGTCAGCAATAATCTAATGAATTCAGGGCTTTTAAAATTATAAATATAAAGCCTTCCACAACCATAAGACCCACTAATAATTCAATTATATTCTCAAAATAGTTTAACCTGCCCTTTTACAATAATGACTTTCCAGTCTGTCTATGAAACTGCCCTTTTTGTTACAAATGTAACCAGAACCATGCACATCCACTAATAATGACCAACTTATTGTAGCAGCACTAATAAATGACTAACTTATTGTAGCAGCACTAATAAATGACTAACGTATTGTAGCAGCACTAATAAATGACTAACGTATTGTAGCAGCACTAATAAATGACTAACGTATTGTAGCAGCACTAATAAATGACTAACGTATTGTAGCAGCACTAATAAATGACTAACGTATTGTAACAGCACTAATTAATGACTAACGTATTGTAACAGCACTAATAAATGACTAACGTATTGTAGCAGCACTAATAAATGACTAACGTATTGTAGCAGCACTAATTAATGACTAACGTATTGTAGCAGCACTAATTAATGACTAACGTATTGTAGCAGCACTAATTAATGACTAACGTATTGTAGCAGCACTAATTAATGACTAACGTATTGTAGCAGCACTAATAAATGACTAACTTTTTGAGACATAGGTCTCATAAACAATCTCTCAAGCACAAGCCCACGTGCTAGTGAGTAGCCAGCTAATCTTTATTTCAAGTCTAGCCAACTTGGATCATTTTGCTAGTTAACAAGGTAGCAACAAGGTAGTTATGAACATATCTTCCTGTCCGTCTCCACCTGTTTGAACAGCAAGCTAGCCTGTCCACTTTGTTTAGATGTTGAAATCAAGTGGCCTACCTGGATAAGGAGATGCTTATTTCTCAGAATGAGAACGAGTTACCAATTCCTTATATAAATGTGTATTTTTATGCTCATTGCAAATTTATAAAACACAGACCAGACAGCTAGCACATAACACACTGTGGATAAAATGCTGCTACATTTACATTTACATCATTTAGCAGACGTTCTTATCCAGAGCGACATACAAATTGGTGCATTCAACTTATGATAGCCAGTGGGACAACCACCTTTAAAAAAACAATTATAATATGGGGGGTGGGGGAAGAAGGATTACTTTATACTATTCCAGGTATTCCTTAAAGAGGTGGGGTTTCAAGTGTCTCCGGAAGGTGGTCAGTGACTCCGCTGTCCTGGCGTCGTGGGGGAGCTTGTTCCACCATTGGGGTGCCAGAGCAGCGAATAGCTTTGACTGGGCTGATCGGGAACTGTGCTTCCGTAGAGGTAGGGGAGCTAGCAGGCCAGAGGTGGATGAACATAGTGTCCTCGTTTGGGTGTAGGGTCTGATCAGAGCCTGAAGGTAAGGAGGTGCCGTTCCCCTCACAGCTCCGTAGGCAAGCACCATGGTCTTGTAGTAGATGCAAGCCTCAACTGGAAGCCAGTGGAGTGTGCGGAGGAGCGGGGTGACATGAGAGAACTTGGGAAGGTTGAACACCAGACGGGCTGCAGCGTTCTGGATAAGTTGTAGGGGTTTAATGGCACAGGCAGGGAGCCCAGCCAACAGCGAGTTGCAGTAATCCAGACGGGAGATGACAAGTGCCTGGATTAGGACCTGTGCCGCTTTCTGTGTAAGGTAGGGTCGTACTCTGCGAATGTTGTAGATCATGAACCTGCAGGATCGGGTCACCGCTTTGATGTTAGCGGAGAACGACAGGGTGTTGTTCAGGGTCACACCAAGGATCTTTGCACTCTGGGAGGAGGACACAATGGAGTTGTCAACCGTGATGGCGAGATCATGGAGCGGGCAGTCCTTCCCCGGGAGGAAGAGCAGCTCCGTCTTGCCGAGGTTCAGCTTGAGGTGGTGATCCGACATCCACACTGATATGTCTGCCAGACATGCAGAGATGTGATTCGCCACCTAGTTATCAGAAGGGGGAAAGGAGAAAATTAATTGTGTGTCGTCTGCGTAGCAATGATAGGAGAGACCATGTGAGGATATGACGGAGTATAGAGAGAATAGGAGAGGGCCTAGAACTGAGCCCTGGGGGACACCAGTGGTGAGTACGTTGTACCGCAATGCCGTGCGCGACAAACTGAGCATACATTTTCCAGAATCAATGTTTTCTGATACTCCCATTTTAGTAAGGTCTGCTTTGCGCAAAATTTTCTGAATTGAGACATAAGGGTATCGTTAGAAAGGTAAAGTTCTAGATTACAGTAAAATAATGTGTTTAGGTGTCCATATGACCGATTTCTGTTGGACCAAACCTTAAATGCAAATAGTGATTTGAAACTGATTGTTTTCAGAGAGGAAGCGATCTTTCATCTTTTGTTGTTGTGGGGGAAGGTGCTCAGCACAGAAGGAGTGAAGGAGACAAGACCAGAAAGACAACATGACAACAAGCGGACATAAACTCTCATAAAAAAAATACAAAAATACTTGATACTTGCTATACAGGCATTTGGAATTTTGCGCTATAAGATCAATTCGAATTAATCGTATTAACTCTATGTTGCCTGGCCCTAACCACACTACTTTTATCTACACCATACATGCTAAAATTTATGAAACTGGAGGTTAAAGATTAGGACTAGGGCAATGAATAACAGTACTTTAATCTTAAGCATGAAACACACCAAGAATCCCACTGCCGATAGGTACTTACTTGACTTTGAGTGAATCAAAGAGCATGAATATGCTAGCTAACGAATATGCTAACATTAGCTAGCTAGCTAAACATTTGGCTATGGGTTGGCACTGGCATTATGGGATTATGGAGAGTAAATTAAATCGTTTCTTCGTCATCTTGCTAGGTAGTTATCTAGTTGTGGCCATCTGGCTAGTATCAACAAGGGCTTTCTACAAAATAGCAACATTAGCACAGCTAGCTAGGAATCTAGACCATAAGCAACACACACTGACATGCATTGCCAAACAACGCTATAGCCAACTTTTCGTTTGGAGTATTTTAACAAGGCTAAGTGGTTAACGACTTCAAAGGTCTTTGCTGTGTGAACACAAAAAGAGATTGACTGCCGACACTCTGTTCAGAGGTGCTAAGTAGTGTTGGCAGGCAAACGTTTGACAATCCTACCGGTGTGTCTGAGCTTTTAGAACACTTGTGTATACATTTCAGGAGCTGGAAGGGATCGAATGCCATCCAGGATTCCATGAAGTCTTGTTCTTCATGCACCATTGATATGTTTTCAAGTCAGTCCCAGTGGAGAGTGTGTGTGTGTGTGAATTTATTCTGTGAGTGTTTGTATGTGTGCACTGTTCTTTTTTTACATTGCAATAATAGTGAAGACATCAAAACTATGAAATAACACATATGGAATCATGTAGTAACCAAGAAAGTGTTGAACAAATCAAAATATATTTTATTTTTGAGATTCTTCAAAGTAACCACCCTTTGCCTTGATGACAGCTTTGCACACTCTTGGCATTCTCTCAACCAGCTTCATGAGGTAGTCACCTGGAATGCATTTCAATTAACAGGTGTGCCTTCTTAAAAGTTAATTTGTGGAATTTCTTTCCTTCTCAATGCGTTTCAGCCAATCAGTTGTGTTGTGACAAGGTAGGTGTGGTATACAGAAGATAGCCCTATTTGGTAAAAGACCAAGTCCATATTATGCCAAGAACAGCTCAAATAAGCAAAGAGAAACGACAGCCCATCATTACTTTAAGACATGAAGGACAGTTCATACAGAAAATGTCAAGAACTTTGAAAGTTTCTTCAAGTGCAGTAGCAAAAACCATCAAGCGCTATGATGAAACTGGCTCTCATGAGGACCACCACAGGAATGGAAGACCCAGAGTTACCTCTGCTGCAGATGATAAGTTAATTAGAGTTAACTGCACCTCAGAAATTTCAGCCCAAATAAATTATTCACAGAGTTCAAGTCACAGACACATCTCAACTTCAACTGTTCAGAGGGACTGTGTGAATCATGCCTTCATTGTCGAATTGCTGCAAAGAAACTACTACTAAAGGACACCAATAATAAGAAGAGACCTGCTTGGGCCAAGAAACACGAGCAATGGACATTAGACCAGTGGACATCTGTCCTTTGTTCTGGAGTCCAAATTTGAGATTTTTGGTTCCAACCACCGTGTCTTTGTGAGACGCGGTGTGGGTGAACGCATGATCTCGCATGTGTAGTTCCCACCGTAAAGCATGGAGGAGGAGGTGTTAGGGTGTGGGGGTGCTTTGCTGGTGACACTGTCAGTGATTTATTTAGAATTCAAGGCACACTTAACCAGCATGGCTACCACAGCATTCTGCAGCGATATGCCATCCCATCTGGTTTGGGCTTAGTGGGACTGTCATTTGTTTTTCAACAGGACAATGACCCAACACACCTCCAGGCTGTGTAAGAGCTATTTTACCAAGAAGGAGAGTGATGGACTGCTGCATCAGATGACCTGGCCTCCACAATCCACCGATCTCAACCCAATTGAGATGGTTTGGGATGAGTCGGACGGCAGAGTGAAGGAAAAGCAGCCAACAAGTGCTCAGCATATGTGGGAACTCCTTCAAGACTGTTGGAAAAGCATTCCAGGTGAAGCTGGTTGAGAGAAAGCCTAGAGTGTGCAAAGCTGTCATCAAGGCATGGGGTGGCTATTTGAAGAATCTCAAATATAAAATATATTTTGATTTGTTCAACACTTTTTTGGTTACTAGATTATTCCATATGTTTTATTTCATCGTTTTGATGT